CTGAAGACGAATGAGGATTTAAAGATTATATGGAGTATATTTTTCCGTTACTGAATAAAGGGTCTGATTGAAGTGGATGCGACGATTGTAAGATCGACCAAAGATATTCTAAGGATGTTGCAACTTTCTAAATTACCTGTTTGGAACGAAACGTAATATTAAATTTATGTTAACATTAATGATCATATATGTAAAGTTTATTTTGATGTTAATTTATGTTGTTTTTCCAATATTCCGTTGTTGTTTATGGTTTGACCTAACAAGGGATTATCCAGAGATACATCTCTAAAAAACTCACTAAAAACTTAATCAAGGGTTGTTACGGAGGTGCGTCTCTGGACTCAATCTAATATTGATATAAAGATGCATCTTCAGACTAAATTTTAACAAAACAGTGGTGTCTTAGCAATTTAAGTTGACGTGTGTGTAAAAAGAGTGTGTGTCTGGAGATATATCTCTGAATTATACATGCAATTGTGACTTTTTAGTATAGTGTAGAAGCACTATATGGGGTGGGATGTATATTCCCTACTATCAAACTAAAGCACAATAAAACTAACTAACTAAACATTATAACACAAAACAATATTATCAGCACTCCAACAAAACTAACTAATACAAAACAATATTAGTAGAACTCCAATAAAACTAACTAACTAACTAAACTTTCTAATACAAAAAAATATTAGTAGCACTTGTTAGATCTTGTGTTGGGGGTCTGCTGCAAAATATGAACAAGAAGAAGATGAAGATGGTATGATGAAAGTTGCACAAAGTATATTCTAAAGCGTGTATTTACACTAAGTTTTAGGTTCGATTTGCCCCATCAATTTAGGCAAATTGGATGCAAATGGGTTATTCGGTGAATTCCTTCAAGATACTTTGGAAACCTTAACATGAATCGCACAGTCACATTAAGCATATCGATCAACGATATTTTATCGAATAAAGTTCTCTCATTTATTCTCGTGCACTAGAAAAATAAAAAAAATGAGTTAGATATAATTTTGGCACTTGAAATTTGTAGAGGGAAGCATTGTTTGATACACTGGTCATTTGATCTTGCTATATTCATTTCCGTTCATATTAATGTTTAGAAAATGCAACATCCCTTGTTCGAATCTGAATGAGTGCGTTTGTTAGAATTAATTTTGTCACTTATTTGTTAAAATCACATATAAATTCCAAAAATTATCCAATTCAAGTGTCGAACACCTGACACTTTACATCTCTATTCAAGTTAAAACCACTGCACCATTAGAACTAATTGTGATCCAGAAATTCCATTAAATGAATTTAATCATTAACATGTCTCAAATAAATATTTTGGAAATCTCACCAACAATCCTCTATCATTATCAAAATATATCTAAATCTATTGTTCATGAAAGTTCATGGTTTCAGATAAAGGTGTCTTACGATTTGAACCATTACTTAGTAAGTTAAGTTTTCACTCATCCCCGAATAGATTGGTAGACAAGCTTTGAACCAATTATTCATTAGAACAAGCATGCATAACTCACACATGAAATCTCGATACCATTGATCTAATTATTAATATGACACATTTAATAAGGTTTTTGGTCTCATATCTTTTTCATGAGAATTTAGAGTCAAGCCCTTGAACTCTATGGAGCGGCACCACTTCATTCTCATATAGGTAGACTATATCAGAAATGTATCCATAATTATGCATTCCGGCAAACATATGTTATAGGTCTATTAAGAGGAAATCTTCATCCTACCACATTTATGTTTATGGTCCAAGTACTTTTACTCCTTGAGATGTATCTATCGTCAAATACTTCAATCATTCTAATGGAGTACTTTCATCATTGAACTCAAGACTTAATGTTAATCAAGTGTGAGTTGAGTTTCCGCCATCGATGATTAATTAGATATGGGCTTGTTCCATATTCCTTAATAATGTCTTTCTTGTATTCAGTTATATCCAAAAATATCATATAATTGTCAATCCTTTTGCCAAAGAATCACAATAATTTTCAAACTTCGATAATATTTGAATATCCAGTCTTTCAAACAGTCATGTCTATGATTACTTTATATACTCTTGATAGTATTTATCAACTATCAGCAAACTATGACACCTTTGTCATATTGTTACATTTATCATATACAAATTATATTATATATTCTTGATAGTTTTGACAAACTATCATCGTGACACTTTTATCATTCATTTTGTCATATACATAAATTTTATGTCATTCTTTATTTGCTAACCTTTTTAATTTGAAGTTTTACTTCCACTTAAATATATTCAACATATATTTAATACATTAACATTTATAGCTATCGACAACCATAATCATACAAATTTGTCATGACTAACTTTTATTTTATGAAGTGAGTTCAAACATGTAATTCATAAACTTCATATAAATACAATACCATAGAATTTATTTCTATTCTTTTAAAATAAACAATTTTCTTGCATAACTAACATATAGATAACAAATTCTATGTGATAAATTCATGTTTCATATTTAACAATGTTTTATGCTATATCCAAATAAAAATTATAATACAAAATAAATAATGAATTCACATCATTAATATTTTCTATAACTTTCCTCCATAAATATTTGTCAACTTACAATAATCCAAAATATACCCAAATTACTTTTAATATCAAGATGAACTAGAAATAATATTTTTATATTATGATACACATATAATATGAGATAAATCATTTTAAATTTAATAAATTCTTGCACAAACTAAAATGTAATTAAACATAACCCATAATATTTTAGAATTTTATTTATACCACATTTATGTATTTATGTTAGTAACTAATAACATGTATCATAAATTCAACATCATGATTTTTCACTAAATCATTTCATCCATAAATAAATATGTTATTAATTAAAATAAATTAGTTGCACCAAAGACTATTATTTAACCTGTATACTTTACATTTAAGTATACACCATAAACTAAATATATTTTTTATTAGTTAAATTCACATACTTGAATAATCATGCATATATAAATTTATTGCACATCATAAACTTAACATAAATAAATATTATTTCTAACATATTTTACATGGATATAAAAAATCATATAAATGACATTTATAATAATGTATCTTTCACCGTAATAATGAATAAGGAAACATGAGTATTCATTTCTCTAAGAAAGTTGTAGTCACAAATTAACCACACAAAAAATCATAAATCGAAATCACATAAATCATAAAAATACAAATTAATCGTGTACTTTTCACCATCATGGAAAATATCTTTTATAAAGTTGCAATATTTATATTAGTCACAAATAAAATATAAATCAAATCGAAATTGAACTTAAAGATTGTTAGATCTTGTGTTGGAGGTCTGTTGCAATATATGAACAAGAAGAAGATGAAGATGGTATGATGAAAGTTGCACAAATTATATTTTAAAGCGTGTATTTACACTAAGCTTTAAGTTCAATTCGCACCCACCGATTTAGGCAAATTAGATGCAAATGAGTTATCCGGCGAATCTCTTCAAGATGGTTTAAAAATCTTAACATGAATCGCACATTCAAATTAAACATATAGATCAACGATATTTTACTGAATAAAGTTCTCTCATTTATTCTTGTGCACTAGAAAAATAAAAAAATAAGTTAGATATAATTTTGACACTTGAAATATGTAATTATCGTGTCTATTTAGTGGCAGGTGTTTTGGTCCAAACATTAAAGAATGAGTTATATATAATTTTGACACTTAAAATATGTAACTATCGTGTCCATTTTGAGTTTTCACAATAACTCTATTTATAGAGAAAATCATGTTACTTTATAGAGAAAAGCATTGTTTGAATCACCGGTAATTTGATCTCGTTATATTCACTTCCGTTCATATTAATATTTAAGTGTTTTAGTCCAAGTGTGCCTTTTATCATTTATTTGTTAAATTCACATATAAATTTCAAAAATTATCCAATTCAAATGTCAAAGACCTGACACTTTAGATCTCCATTAAAGTTAAAAGCACTGCACCATTAAAACTAAGTGTGATTCAAAAACTAACATGTCTCATTGGAAATCTCACCAACACCAAAATTAACAGGAAACTCAGTGGTCCAAACTAAAACTAACTCTTGTAAATTTCAAGTCAACACAACTATTAAAATCGGAGTTAGATTCACTGCATTCACCTCTCTCTCTATCTCTCCACCTTGCAACTTTATTTATTTTAAAATTAAAAAAAAATGAAGAGCCATGATATTTAATTAGTGTATTCAATGGCTAACATATGGGGTAACTGCATAAGCAGTGGCTGCCGTGGTTCAATGTCCATAACTACTTGTCTTCATTGAAAAATAGTATCTTTAAATTTCTCCATAAAGAAAATGTGATACCATCATATTGTTATCCTCCTCTCCTCCTCCTCAATAGTGTATGATAAAGCACTTAATAATTATATATGGTTGTTGAAGAACATCTTTTCTGCTTGTTTTCTTTTTAAAGTTAAAGAAAAAGTCGATTTAAATTAGAATAAATTCATTAAAATATGCCTTAAAACTCACATAATCCCAAAGAAGGAATTAAAACTAATTGAAAATCATCTTCTTTTTCTATCAAAATCATTCCATCAAAACTCCATGATTAGACATTAGCATCAATCATATCATATTATATATACACACTATTGCACTACACATGGTAGGACTTGAAGAAAATTTGTGCATATAGGAAAAAACACGTTTTCTTCACATAATAATTACAATCTTGAGGTCTGAATTGTATCCAACAATTCGTACTGTATACTTCAAGTCAAACACTTAAAAAGGGAATATTTCCACATGGAATTGAACCTAATAAAATGCATTACTCATTCATGTGACGTTTTTCTTAGCTCAACTACACGTATAAACTATTCGCATAAACTAAGACTAGCAAGTATACTAATCAGTATAAATTAACAAGCTAGAGAAACATTTTATCACAACACAATAGAAAAAGACACCATACAGTCTATGATGTTGTTCTTAGCAACTTTTGTTGTTCTGTTATATGTTCCACTCTCCACTTCAATTCCAATTGAAAAGACTTTCAATAATTGTTTATCACTTCATTCAAAAACTCCAAACCAATTTCCATCTGCAATCTACACCTCTACCAATACTTCCTACACTTCAATCCTTGAATCCACTGCTCAAAATCTAAGGTACCTGTTGCCTTCGGTACCGAAACCAGTTTTCATATTCACTCCATTCCATGACTCACAAGTTCAAGCAGCTGTGATATGTGCAAAACAGCACGGTATTCATATGAGAGTGCGCAGCGGCGGGCACGATTACGAAGGACTTTCCTTCGTTTCTCTTTTCGAGAGACCGTTCATGATCTTAGATTTGGTTAAACTGCGCAAAATCAATGTCGATATTCCACATAACACAGCTTGGATTCAATCCGGTGCAACTATTGGTGAAGTCTATTACAGAATTTCAGAGAAAAGTGCTGTCCATGGTTTCCCTGCAGGCCTTTGTACATCCTTAGGTATAGGCGGCCACATTACCGGAGGTGCTTATGGTTCTATGATGAGAAAGTACGGCCTTGGTGTTGACAACGTCGTTGACGCTCGAATTGTCGACGTTAATGGAAAAATTCTTGACAGAAAACAAATGGGAGAAGAGCTGTTTTGGGCTATAAGAGGAGGTGGAGGAGGAAACTTTGGAGTTATTCTCTGGTGGAAGATCAAGTTAGTTCCTGTACCACAAACTGTGACGGTTTTCACTGTAACAAAAAGCCTAGAACAAGGAGGAAACAAACTTCTCCATAGATGGCAACAAGTAGCACCGAATATCAATGAGAATCTCTTCATCAGAGTCATAATTCAGCCAGGAAATAGTACTGTGCCAGGTCAAAGAACAGTAACTACTTCTTACAATGCTCAATTTCTTGGTGAAGCGAATAAACTTCTCAGAGTTATGAAACACAGTTTTCCAGAATTAGGTTTAACAAGAAAGGATTGTTTGGAAACTAGTTGGATCAAATCGGTTCTTTATATAGCTGGATATCCAAATGGAACACCTCCAGAAGTTCTGCTCCAAGGAAAACCAACATCCAAGGCTTACTTCAAAGCAAAATCAGATTTTGTCAGACAAGTGATTCCAGAAACTGACCTCAATTCCCTATGGAAGATTTTTCTTCAAGAGGATGGGCCTTTAATGATATGGAACCCCTATGGAGGAATGATGAGTAGGGTTGCAGAATCAGCAACACCTTTCCCTCACAGAAAGGGGACACTTTACAAAATTCAGTACTTAACAGGATGGATTGATGGAGAAAAGAATATGGCAAAACATATGAGGTGGATGAGGAAGTTTTACGCATTTATGACACCTTATGCATCAAAATATCCAAGGGAAAACTATGTGAATTATAGAGATTTGGATATAGGGATGAACAAGAAGAATAGTACAAGCATTTCACTTGCTTCCTCTTGGGGTTATAGGTATTTTAAGGGTAATTTCAATAGGTTAGTAATGGTGAAAACTGAAGTTGATCCATCTAATTTCTTTAGGCATGAGCAGAGTATCCCTCCACTGCCAATTGGTAAGTAAGAAAAAGAGAAGATCAAAGGGGTAGTTATGGCTAGGATTCTAGATCAAATTTTCAATGTTACAAATATGAGTTAGGTTAAATGTGTTTACAAGTTGAGTTATTATTGAGTGAAAAATAAAGATTGTATAATATGTTGCTGTTTAATATTGTGCACTGAGAAAAACATGGAATAGTTAAGATAAGTTTACAACAGTTTAGTGGAGTTGGATGTTTGTTAATTTTGATCTGTCTTTACATTTCACGGATTGACTTAATTGATTAGCTTAAATGTTGAGCTATTCAATTTCATATCTTCCAAAAAGGTCAAAGCAAATTTGAGACTATGTGACAAAAAATGGTTAGTGAAAATGTAAAATGTGATGATTGGATGACAAAAATGAAAATGAAAAGTTTGTGTCATTTTGTGTATATTTAAATTGATAGTAAGTTTGACATAATCACATAACGAGAAATCGTATCATATACTTACTATATTTTTTATCGATTTTCATAATGCATTAATCCATTTAACTCCCGATTGTTCCGAGTTTTTATGTCTTTTTACAGGTACAACATGTTTCAAATCAAATTAGTGAAAAATGATCACATGAAGAAAGCTAACCAAAAAATCAGAAGAAAAAGAACTAATCTGCAAAATCTGCAAAGTTTGATGACATGACGACCGTCACACCTCCGTTACGAGCGTAACACGCTCACATCCTGAAGAACGCTCGTCACACATCATTGACGAACGTAACGCGCTATTTAAGCGCATTACGACCGTCACCTCCTCATGACGACCGTCACACGCGTAATTCATTGTCATGCAAAACAGAAGACGTGGGCAACGTAATGAATGTTTTCTCCTCCTACAATTTCTCAACTTCAGCAACGAACAGTCTGAGTCTTCCTCCACTCAAGCATGCAAGTCCACGTTCCTAAATTCTCTTAACTGCAAAAATCCTCTTCTATAAATAGGAGATATTTTAATGGAACGAGGGAGAGTTTTTGCTACATAATTTTCTTGTGGAAGCCCTGCCAAATTTAATACTGCATTTTTTGTTCTTGCTTTATTTTCCCCTTTTACCAATTAATAACTATTTCCAACATTAGGAAATTGTTATTGTAGTCAGAATTTATTTCTAGCTTCAGAATTTGTTTCAAGTTCCGATTTCGAAGTTCCAATCTTGTCGACTTGTGGAAGAGGGAGCTTGAGGAATAATATTGTTATTCAGGTTTTTAATCGCATTAAATTTTAATATAATTTGTTTACGTTTATTTATTTATTTATTTTATCATGAACGCTTTATTCTTTCCCGATTATATTTTCTGTATGTCTATTTCGAGTACTATGACTAGCTAATTTTCTAGAGTCGGGATGTGATAATAGTAACCAAATGGATTAAATTGTGCCTAAGCTAAAATCTAAAATTAACTTAATTTCTGGCTGTGACTTTTTATAATTAAAATCAATTTTTTTGTTATGAGAGTAAGAAAAGTAGAATAGGTTAGGATCGAGACCACGAGAGTGTGAGGTTTTAACCGGATAGCTAAAGTTAGGCATTTGATTTAAATACAGCGAGAGCGTTTTAAAACGAATTAGATTTTGTTAAGTTTTCAAAAAGTATTTTCTAAACACTTATGGGCTAGCGAGAGCAGACATAGGGCTTTAGGGGTATAATCTGAGATAAGACCACGAGAGAGTGTGAGTTGAGGGTTTTTAAACTGATAATTTCTACATAACCATCTAAGTTAAACATCTTTATATGCTTAGGTTCGATTAGATCCACTTAGGTTTACTACATTACATGCCGACCATTTTATTATTATTATTCCATTAATTTGATTTATTTTTCCCTTACCTTAACCTCTAAACAACCAAACGTGACAACATCCGCCTTAGCAAAACTAGCAAACCTTTATAGCACTAGAGTGATTACAAAGTCCTTGTGGGTTCGACATCTTTTTATTACTACTGCGATAGGCTGTGCACTTGCAGTTAAGATACCGTTAGACACATTAGGTCGATCGCACATCAAGTTTTTGGCGCCATTGCCGGGGACTTTGATTTAGTCACTAGTGCACTCATAAAGTAGTACTGTATAGACTAAGGCGACTATTTATTTTTCCCTCTGTTGTATGCCAAATACTCGCTCCCGAAGCGAGCCTTTGCATTTACAAATCAACGATATCGAGCGCTATCTCAGAGTAAGACGCAGAGTTCAAGAATACCGTGATCTCAACAATCTTCCTCCGACTAAGCTTCCTGATATCTCAATCCCTGAATTAATTGAAGAATCTAAGATGGCTGACGTACCAAATCCACCTCGTGCTCTTAAGGATTACGCAGTTCCTTCTCAAGCGGAGCCTCACAACAGCATTGCCGCTCCTACTATCGCTCGAAACGATTTCGAGCTGAAACCTTCGCTTCTATCTACCGTTCAGCCAAACCAATTTTTTGGATCTCCTACTGACGACCCAAACCTATATCTGTCAGTGTTTGTGCAGTACGCAGACACTGTAAAAGCGAATGGTGTAAACCACGAGGCGATACGATTGCGCTTGTTTCCCTTTTCTTTAAGAGACAGAGCTCGAGCATGACTCCAATCTCTTCCTTCAAACTCAATCACCACATGGGATGAGTTAAAAAAAGTCTTTTTAGCTATATATTTCCCACCAAGCAAAACTGCTATGCTCCGAGCCAACATCAATGGTTTTAGACAAAAAGATAACGAATCGCTTTTCGAGGCATGGGAACGCTATAAGGACATGATCAGACTCTGTCCTCATCATGGTTTAGAAGAATGGCTGATCATTTATACGTTCTATAACGGTCTCTTGTACAACACAAGAATGACTATAGACGCCACTGCTGGTGGCCCATCGATGGATAAGCCGTATACCGAGGCAAATCAACTTATCTAAAGCATGGCTCAAAACCATTATCAATGGGGAAGCGAAAAAGCTAATATGGAAAAAACTCAAACAAAAGGTGGCATGATTAAAGTGAATAGTCTGGATCAAGTCAACGCTAAAGTAGAAGCCCTTACCCAAAAGCTAGAAAATATTACTACCGCTCCCGCAGCTACCGTAGCTGCAGTAGCTCAAGCTTGCGATCTATGTGGTCTTCAATCACATCCTGCTCCAGAATGCCCACTTCTAACGGGAGTTCCAGCTGAACAAGCGAATTACGCGCAGAGAAACCCTTATAGTAAAACACCTATAACCCTGGTTGGAAGAATCATCCAAACTTTTCATATAAAAGCAACAACGTGTTATACGCACCTGGACAAGCTCCTGCCACACCACCTGGCTATCCAAAAGCTGCCCCAAATCACCCAAATAACGGACCTAATACATCCAATGCCCCTAGGAAGTCCAATCTAGAAATCATGATAGAACATTTCATTGCTTCCCAATCTCAAACTAATAAAGATGTTCTGAATCAAAATTTACATACTAATGAGCAGATTAAACAACTATCTAGTAAAGTTGACGCTTTAGCTACCCATAATAAGATGCTTGAAACTCAAATTTCACAAGTGGCTCAACAACAAGCATCTACTGCTGCCCCAGCTGGATTTTTCCCTGGTCAACCACAACCTAACCCGAAAGGACAAGCTAACACTGTGATACTGAGAAGTGGAAAAGAACTTGACGGACCTGTTGATCCAAGATTCAAAAATCCAGCCATGTACCAAAAGCAGAACAAACCAACTGAAATTGAGGATGAACCAAAGGAAAAGGAAAAGGAGAACCAAGAGGCAGTGGAGAAAGAAAAGCCTTATGTGCCTCCATCACCCTATAAACCGCCGATTCCGTACCCTCAGAGACTTACCAATTCCAAAACGATGGGCCAATTCAAGAAATTCGTTGAACTTCTGAAACAACTGAATATCACAATACCGTTTACAGAAGCTATCACTCAGATGCCCTTGTATGCTAAATTTCTCAAGGAAATCCTATCTAACAAGAAAAAGATAGAAGATAACGGAACAGTTACACTTACTGCTGAGTGTAGCGCTATTATTCAAAATGATATGCCCCCTAAGTTAAAAGATCCAGGTAGTTTCTCTATACCCTGTAACATTGGAAAGTTTATCAAAGACAAAGCTCTATGCGACTTGGGAGCAAGTATCAGTGTCATGCCCCTATACATTTTCAAAAAGCTAGATATGGGAGAACTTAGACCCACAAAAATGTATGTTCAATTAGCTGACTGATCAGTTAAATACCCTGTAGGTATACTGGAAAACGTCCCAGTTAGAATAGGTCAATTCTATATCCCGACCGATTTCATAATCATGGACATTACTGAGGACTCAGTTACTCCTATCATATTAGGAAGACCCTTCCTAGCCACAGTTGGAGCTATAATTGATGTAAAGAAGGGCAGACTGACATTCGAAGTTGGAGAGGAAAAAGTGGAATTCATCCTCACTCATTTCTTACAAGCACCAGCCATGAATGACACATGTTATCTAATCGACATTATAGACGAGTGTGTAAGAGAGATGGAAGCGGAACAGACCACATACTCTGAAATAATGAAAATCCAAACCCCTCTGATATTCGAAGACGACAATTGGCGTGAACCATACCAAGACAATAGTCTAAGCGAAAGTCTAGCACTTACACCTGATCATATGCCATGTCCGAAGAAACCAGGTTTAGAGTTAAAAACCTTACCCAGGAACCTAAGATACGAATTCCTAGATACCAAATGTACACGACCAGTAATAATCAACTCCAGTTTAGGAACGCTCGAAAACTGAGAAACTTTTAGACGTCCTAAGAAAGTACCCGACTACATTAGGTTATAACATATCCGACTTAAAAGGAATATGTCCTTCAATTTGCATGCATCACATTATGCTAGAAGAAGATTGCAAAACCTCTAGAGAACCCCAAAGAAGGATTAACCCAATCCTTAGCACTGTAGTCAGAGATGAAATTAAGAAGCTATTGGAAGCAGGAATCATATATCCGATCTCCGACAGTAAATGGGTCAGCCCAATAC